GTGAGTTCGAGACCAGCCTGGTCTCCAGAGTGAGTGCCAGGATAGGCTCCAAAGCTACACAGAGAAACCCTGTCTCGAACAACACACACACAAAACCAACTACACAGATAACATTATGATGTAACAAAAATCATGTGCACTAATGTTTCCAAGATGGTTTAAAATGGCAAAACCTTTCTAAAACAGACATATGCAGAATGTCGATATGAAATGTCATTAAGTGTGCCTTTAAGGTACATACAAGGAACTCCTGAAGCCAAGCAATAACTTGATAATCTCCCAAACCCACAGAAGTTCCATCTCATTATTTCAACTAGTAGGATCAATTCTTGCTACTACATGAATCATCTTTGAAAATCTCAAAACTAAACAATGATCTAAGTATTTGAATATGTGACTGTAAGAAATTGGGGAGGCAGCTCACCACTAAGGCTGAGGGAAGACTCAACTGGGTCCCAGGGACTCAAGACCAGCCTGGTGACTGGGTGACACCTAGTCTCAAAACACTGACACTAAATAAAGCAAGCGCCCAACCGAGGCTAGTGATGTTCTCCTCTCTGGAAACATCTGTGTATGAGGGGAGGCAAGAGAACAACCTTGGTATCATCTTTAGATGACACTACCTCTTTTAAGATAAGGTCTCTCAACTGACTCCAACTCACTAATTAAGCTAGGATGCCTGGCTAGCAGTGAGCCCCAGGGGTCCTCCTGTCTCTGCTTTCCTAATGTTGAGATTAAAGTGTGTCACAATGCCCAGCTTTCTTATGTGGGTTCCAGGGGTTGAACACAGGTCATTCTTGCAGTAGAGAAAGAGCCCACCACACTCCAACATGACCTCAGGTAAACTGCATCTTCAACCAACTCCCCTCGAGTATAGCCACAGCCTAACTTCCACCTAACTGTTGGATGACACAATTGGTTTGTAGCAGATGCTAGTCGGGTTTCCGTTTGGAAGAAATAAGTTGCTAGTGATCAGAGTAATTGTTGCATGCAGAAAACACTGCCAGTCAGTGCCCATGTTCTAGTCTAATTTCAGACATGATTTTCTTTGAATCCTGCTGGTGCAAAAAATCTGACTTGGTGTTGGCAGATTCAGCTGTTTAGTGACTGAGTTCTACAACAGTGGGTCTTAACCTGAAGAGATCAAATCACAACAGTTATTTGGGAAACAGTTATTTACACACAATTCATAACAGTAACAAAATTAGTTATGAAGTAGCAACAAAAGTAATTGTATGGTGGGGAGGTGGTCACCACAGCATGAAGAACTGTATTAAAGTGTTGCAGCATTAGGAAGGTTGAGAACCACAACTCTACAGAATCAAAGGTTTTCAAATGTTTCTTGTTGAATGGGATGTTGTGCTAGTGGCCTGAACTCACTTGGGATATATTCTGGGCTTTATTTTCTGTGTCATTGCTTTACAGTGGCTCTACTTCATAGAGATCTCCTCCCAAACTGGAAAATGTCCTGAGGATACAAGCAGCTTGAATTGGGCTCAAATCAGCTGGTGGAAATAATAATACGCCTCCACTATAGACATGACTTGACCACCTGACCCTGGTTCCATCCCATTTCTCCACTCCCCTGCAGTCAACCTGCCACACCACTGTACTTCCCTTCACCTTGTTCCTGCCCACCAGTCTCTATAATTCTGACCTTGGCTACTGCCTGGAACTCACATTTACAGTTTTCAAGTCATGACACCACTTTTTGCTAACAATTAATTTCTGTGTTTATCAAATACTGGCATTTACCTACAGTTTGTGTGTGTGGGGGGGTGGAAATCATACTTTTCACAATGTACAGTTCCCTTATGACATAAGCCTTTTTAAGATTGGTGTCTTCTTCTCAATTATTTGGCCAATGAGATAATCTGCTCGGCCAGTATCTGTTTACTGTGGATCAGATTTACGATTCACTGTTCTCTGAATGTATTGGGTTTAAAATACCTATCTTCTTATCTATGACTAACTCAGGGGAAGCAATCTGCCTCTGGGATAAGGTAATGATATGATACACACTTAAACAGGCAAAAATTAATAAATTAATGATTTAAGACCATATCTCTCAAATTCTCTGGGACAAGAAGGGAATGGTTTGGCTGACCTTTTAATTCTGCATGGTGGTCTGAATGTTTGTTCTAAACAGGTAGCACTTGAATTATTTCTTTCAAAAACACAGGATTAGGGCTAGAGAGATGGCTCAGAGGTTAAGAGCACTGACTGCTCTTCCAGAGGTCCTGAGTTCAATTCCCAGCAACCACATGGTAGCTCACAACCATCTGTAGTGAGATCTGGTGCCCTCTTCTCGTGTGCAGATATACATGGAATCAGAATGTTGTATACATAATAAATAAAATCTTTAAAAAAAAAAAAAAGACAGGATTAAAGCTACAAATATAGGGTATGAGAGATGGCTCAGTGGTTAAGGGCATTGGCTGTTCTTTCAGAGGTCTTGAGTTCAATTCCCAGCATGCATATAGAGCACAACTGTCTACAAGTGCAGTCTCATGGGATTGGACACACTCTTCTGGTGTGCAGACAAACATGCAGACAAAATACCCATATACATAAACAAATATTTAAAAAGAGGTACCAGTACAATCAATTCAAGACACATTTACTAAATGTTCGAAGTATTCTCTCTTATGGGATGGGATCACCAATACAATTGCAGTGGTCTGCCTATGAGCAGAGGACACAGGCTACATGACAGGTAGCAGGGAGGAAAGACAGGACAAGGATGACTAGCTTTACTACTTGAATGTTAACGTATCACCAGCTTCAGGTAGAAAAGTGGATGCTGGGGCTGGAGATGGCTCAGTTGTTAACAGCCTTTGCTGTTCTTGCAAAGGATGTGGATTCAGTTCCCAGTACCCATAGAGCAGCTCACAATGATTCAGAGGTTCAGAAACCCTCCTCTGCAGACAATACCCAAACATGGACACATACATATATGCAAAACATGCACAAGCATGCACACAACACTCATTCATACATAGGAAAAATAAACCTTAAAAAATAAAAGAAAAAAGAAAACCAGTTGCTGGGCCTTTGATCCAAGAACATTAGCAGTATATACTACAAGTCTTATGTTACTATGACTTTGCAACAAAGCTTGGTAGTGGCCAAGAGCAGCCTGGGAACTCTAGACAGGTACTAAACACCCATAAAGGCCAGGGAACTAGAGACACGGGAGATGTTTTAAGGCTAGATTCACTAAGACTTCATAAGAAATGTGAGAGAGGATTCAGTGAAGTGTCGAATTCTTTGGGTAGTCAGAACAGAAAACACTGCCATTAAATTACTACAGGAAAGATAGGAATTTGCTTTTATTGGAATAGGAGTAGAGATTCGAAGTCTTTTCATGTTGAGTTAAATATATGCAGGACATAGGCATCCATACTCAGGTTCTTGCCCAGTGACACATACTCATCTACAATGTCCTCAAAGGTGAGGTAGACATGACAAGGTACTTGCTAGCCTGGATTTTTACTCCTTTCCCTAAGGAGAGTTACTGGTGTACCTTACTAGATAAGGCACACAGGTTGTCCTATGTATGCGCCTTACATTAATCCAACAGTACTTACAAAACAAACAAACAAAAAACAACCAATCAAAGCATACTTCGAGGGCAAGGCAGAAATAAAACACTGCAGGCAGAAGTAGAGCACTGTGGTTCTGGTCTTAGCTACTTAAGTACACAACACTATCATCTGACCTTTCAACACAGTTGTGTTTTAATTGGACTGCATGTTGCCTTTATATGAATGCACCAAATGTCAAGGGAAGGACTTTAACAGACGCAAAACTAGTGGAGAAAAGGCAGACCTCCTACGGGAAGCAGAAACTACTTTAAGGACTGTGGAGACTGGCAAAGGAAAAGCAAGCTGCTGCACTATTTAACCATCTACTGAGCTAATGCCGAGGGCTGCAACAACAGTATGCTGATAGATGACTAAGGTGTTCTGTAGACAAGCAGGTCCCCTTCCTGCCTGGAGTGAGATGTAGCAACAGCCTTTATGCTCATTTCCTTCTCTCTCCTTGTAGCTTCAAGAATCATTAATTTCCACCCAGCAGTGGTGGTGCACGCCTTTAATCCCAGCACTTGTGAGGCAGAGACAGGTGGATCTCTGTGAGTTCGAGGCCAACCTGGTCTACAGAGTGTTCCAGAACAGCCTCCAAAGCTACAGAGAAACCCTGTTTTTTTCTGAAAAACAAACAAACAAACAACAAAAAAATCACTCAGCTGAGCAGTTGGTACACTCACAAAAACATCCAGGAATTTACATTGTACCCTTATTAACACCTTTAAGTTAAGCAATTCAAAGTGCCCAAAACCTCCCCTCCCCTGCCACTTGTGTGGTTTTTTTTTGTTTTTTTTTTTAACTTGGATTTTTCTCCTTCCCCCAAGACAGAGTCTCACTATGTAGCCCTGGCTGTCCTGGAATGATGTAGACTAAGCTTACCTCAAATTCTGAGAACCGCCTGTCTCTGCCTTATAAGTGCTGAGGTTAAAGGCATGCGACATCACCACCCAGTTTGCCCTGCCACTCTTTAGTAAGACTTAGTTTTGTTCCGTTTCAGGGGCTGAGGCTAGGCAGGAGACAGTGCTGAGCTACATTGCCAGCCCTTTTAAATTTTGGGGAGGAGGTCTTAGTAAATTCCCAGGCTCTCCTGAATTATAGGTGATAATCTTCCCAAGTATTTGCAGAGTAGCTGGGATTACAGGCACGGGTATAACACATGGCCAGGACTGGCTTCAATGAAACATATAGTACCCCCAACTACAGAGTAATGACCACCTATGAGTAAGCAACTTTAGTGATACCCTTCATGACATGCACTCATTCTGGAAATAGATGCTATTTGTTTCCATCATCTTTTAAACAATAGGTTTCATATACAAAAACCACTACACAAATTAAATTTTACATTATTGTAAATTAAAAGAGAACAACTCTAGTACTTATCCAATTTAGTATTCAAGTATACGGGGGTGGGGAGAGCAAATGACAACTGCTTTATTATTAAAAGTTACTCAGTTCCATAAAGCACACAAAGTAACCTATGTTCAACTAACAAAAGGTTGGTACATGTATTGAAAAATATATAACAAATTTGTCTGTCTTAACATTTACATTCTATTTAAAAAGTAGTTACATATTTTTGAAATTTGTATTTATAAAATATATATACCCACCCTATTCAAATTCTCAAGCATGAGCTTCCATTCCTAATCAAATGCACAATCTATATTGTGAACCAAACAAATTATGGCAGCAACAAAATGGACAAATTCAATTTGACCCAAACATGTACTTATTAGTTCTTGACTACTAGGTAATTAATTCCACTCAAAAAATTCTTTACTGTGTGCCTGGCAATTTGCATTTATCTGAATATGCTGTTATTATGAAGACACTTGCACCTTCGTGGCATTTGATAAAAATCTCAAAATGCCTTCAGAGTCCCCTTTCAGGCTTTAAGACAGTGGAGTTGGTCAGTCTTTCTGTAGACCAAAACTTATGACAAGTTATGTGTCACACAAAGTCCAGGAAGAGTTTTCAATATGCTTTATATGAGAAAACAACTTACATGATGGCAATTGCAGTCCTGAAAAGCCAGGCTGTGTGTGCCCAAAGACAGCAAGACCTGACTCTGCTTGCCTGTCAGCTCTTCAAAGGTGCAATGGAGATCCGAGGGATGGAGAGACTTGGGTCTACTCAGGCCTTCCTTTCACACAATCAAAGCAGAGCAGCACCACTTTATCGACAATCTTATAATCACTCAGAGACGAATAACCAAACATAAGTATTAAGAATAAATCAGAGAACTGAAATTACGACTATTAGTTCACTTACCAGATCATAGCACTGGCACAGAACCAAGTCTGAAACATTCTGATTCTATGTGCCTCTGAAGAGAGTTATACCTAAAGTCCTGCCTTTGAGTTCATGAATATTTTATGCTGAGAAAAAAAAAAAAAATCACCCACAAATAATCTCAGGAAAATAACACATTTAAATGTAAGAACTTAATTAACTTGAGAAATAGTAGACTCTGGAAAAGTCCCTATCTAGAAGGAAACAAGTAGAAACTGTCCATGTCACTAGTAAGAAATTCCACTACAGCTCTCGGCTTATTTCTGTTAATTACTCAATACTCAATACATTTAGCAACCTACTGATAAGATGAAGTTAGGTATAAAAAAACCCCATCTATTTTATAGAAAGTATTTTTTAATTTCTTAAAAAGTTTCAGATGTAATTTTAACAATCTTCCTCCTCTAGATTCCCTAACTTTAAACAAAAACAAAAACCTAACTTCTAAGTCAGAAAAGGAAACTGTGGAAGACATGGAGCATCTGTGAGAAGAGAGGGTGGGGAGGTGACAAAGGGAGGCTAAGACCTAAGGAGGATAACAACAAGGGTGGGAGCAGCTTCGAAGACCACAACCATGCGCCAAGGCATAAGAGCTCCTGGCGCAACAAACAACTGGAAGATGGCTGTCTGCTGGGCTCTGTGGCTGGTGTAAATGAAATGGCTCTGGGGGCTTCTCCAGGGCAGCTGCCACTGAGTGACACCTCAACCCGGCAGACTGTAATGAATCTTCAGGAAGGTACTTTTTGAAAACCTATTTACATGCATATACAATTAAACATAATTACAAATTTTAACCTTTCAACTAAGACATACAAAAAGAACTAATAAAAATGGAAAATATAAGCAGCAGTAACCATGAAAGCTGAGACCTAGTGACACTGAATTTTTTATTAAAAAACAAAAACAAAAAAATAAAACCTTTGAATACACAGTACCTCCTTTTCTACTCTACTTCTAGGAAGTTTTAACAAGTTTTAAATATCGAAATTCTCAAAAACATAGGCTTTTAAAAGAAGACTTCATTACCAGAAATAGCATATTTACACACCATTTTCTTGTCACTAATCATTTCCATATCTGTCAATTTATCTTTGATGGAACAAACCAGTCACTAGATATCGGTTTTAGAATCTCAAGAAGTTACTAGCCATAGTAGGTAATGATGTGTGTATTTGCATATATTCAAGATCAGAAGGAGAAAACAGTAAATCACTCTAGTTACTTCATACTTCATAACAGATTATCTGTATTCCAACTCAAAGAAACAAGGATTACCATCCTTCTCCAGTTGAACTGTTGACTCCATATAAGCTGTCATTCCTTTCTTGATTTCTCCGCTGGCTAAAAGGATAATTACACATTATACATTCTTTAGAAGTAAATATTAACTCCTAAAGAGAACAGCTACAGAATGTATCTTTATAAAATTTTAACACAATACTGAAAATAACCTTTCTCCATAAAACCCACAGCATTTGTCTGTATTTATAAGGAAGGGCACCAAATTCATAACTGCAAAAACAAGAAATTGCATATATCACATCTTTAAAAAATTGGCAAAACAGAATGGCCTAAAATAAATATGTAAGAGAAAGAGAAACAAACATAATGTGTTTGTGTAAGTGTAAAGCCTGGAAGTGTAAAACATAATGTTGCAGGCTGCCACTCAATGGCAGGGAAGCAGAGAGGATATTTCATGTAAATTTCTTGTAATTCTATTTCAATAATATGTTACAGCAAAATATCTGTCTTACTGAAAGCCACAACTTGCCCTCAACTGAACAATGACCCAGATATACACCTTATGTCTTTTAATAATATCAGTAATTAAATATAAGCATAAAAGAATTTTCAATGACTCCTAAATTCAAGGGAGTAATGTTAATCTGATTATGAATTATTAACAGTTGATGTTCCTGTATCTTAGATATATTATTTTCTTCACTTGGAACCAAAAGTTAACTAAAATTACTTGGTTTTCTACTATTTCCCCCCATTTCATTTGAATCTATTTTATAGTATCTGTATATACAGAGGTAATATTAAAACACATATAAAAACAACGAAGCTATTCCTCTACACTACAGCACTGTGATGCCTGACCTGGTTTATCGATTCCTTTGGTGAATAAATGTCACAGGTCACTTCTTACGAAAGGATTTTAGAAAGAGGACTACACACTCAGAGAAGAGTCCCCCTGTGTCACCCCACCCCACCCTGAAAAAAGATCACGTTAATTAGTATTTTAGAGTAGTGACATAAAACACGGGAACACCTAATTTACAGCTGTAATTTCTATCAGAAGCAGTGAAAAACTAAGAATTTAAAGATTTTTTTATGTTAAATAGGCCAACTAATAAAACTAACAATGATCACTGTGAGAACTTGTGTATATCCCATCAAGACAGAAGAGAAATGCTTATAATATTTAAAAATGATCATTGCTACCTAGCAGTATAAACAGTGTCCACAATTTGGTGGCTGGCCATGGTTTTAATTTTTTTTTTCAAGTTATTTCTACAGCAGACATATTTTTGAAGTCTACCCACCCCTGAGTTCAGCAGTTATACTTTTAGAGTGTAAAATTATATGCCCTTAATTAACAACATGTACAAAGCTACAAAATGTCATCTACACAGAGATTAAAAACAATTTTTAAAATATTCTTTACCAATTATCAATTAGACGGTTTTATGGGGGTACATATATCAGACCTTTCAGCCAATTGGCTTTAATTTTTAAGCCCAAATTGATTAATATATATTCACTGCAGGATATTCAAAAAGAGTGCAACAGTAAGGCATTAGTAAAAATAACATTGTCATAAAAACAGATCTTGCATATGTGAAAAGGTAATTTATAAAATACATTAATTGCTTCTTAAAAAGACCTAGTTGTAGCATCATTAACTTACATGGTACATGGTACTTAGAATGGAACCTTTCCAACAACTGTTTTATAGATTAGATAAAGACAGACAGACAGACAGGTACAGACAAGATAGAAAAACTTCATCTAGCTATAAGCAAAATCTTTTCAACAAACAAGTTCTTCCAAGAAAACCTCTATGGTTGCGTGAGACAAATAAGCAAACATATCATTTTATAGTGTTCTTTTGCCAAAATCTTAAAATAAAAATGTCCACACTTTTTTGTTAAAACATTAAGCCTCTGTCAAAAATGTATTTCTCATTTTACGGTACAGGATTGAAGGACAAGATGATACAAGTAAAGAAAATTTACAAGAAAAAAACTTGACAAAAGTCTTTCAATTAAAGTATTATAACATTCAAACAACTTAAAATGTAACAAAAGAAACAAGATTACAAACAAAAATGTTTATGGATTTCCAAACATAAATAAATGAAATAGTGTTTAGGCAGTAGGGCTCATGCTGATGGCTAGCGGGAAGTAACAGAGTGTAATATACTTGGGAAAAAAATAACAGGCCCAAATGATGAGTGGCAGTAATTCAAGCATCACTGCCATATTTTTACTTCCAAAATAAAGCCTTGGTTAAACCATTCACACCCTATATTATTCACACCTTTACTTCAGAGATTGAGGACTATATACAACAAATGAATTGAGTTTCACCATAGGGATAACATATTGTACCTCTCTGCCAATGTTCCTTGAAAACTTTCCATGTCAAAACAATTTGACAGCAGATATAAACAATTAAATAAATACGCAATGATCTTTCTTACGGTCCTGTAAAGATGCATGTTATTTCATGCTGTTTGCCTTAGGATCACAGTGCATAGAATCCAAATATAAACAGTTGGGGTGACTTTCAATGTAATGTTGGATCCCTCACTGTCCTTATAATCCCACGATAGCCGATAAATTCATCTCATAGGCCCTATCATGCATTAATCACCGAGTGGCAGGAGTTAAGAAAACTCTTCCTGTTACAACGTCCATTGCCGGCAATGAACGTCCCCAAACCACTGAGGAAGTCACTGTTATTGCACAATACATGAGGACCTGGAACTTTTCCAAAAGCTTAAAAAAATAAAAATAAAAAATGGAATTATATTTGACATTTCCTGACACCTGCATTAATACTGTATGACTAATAAAAGCATGTCAGTTGCCTGGACTGAGCCAGCGATCAACATGCGCCCAGAATGCACACGAGTAAAAATGCAGTAAAAGGAAGTAGTCTTCATTGCCTATAGGTCACTTCCAGTCAAAGGTTAAAGTTCAAAGACTGAATGATCAAAGTGCTCATTTTCTCAGTAGGACTATCTTCTGCTACGAGGATGATAACAGTGGCATCAACAAGTATCATCTTTAAGAAAAGGAGAAAAAAGATAATTAAAAAGTTAAGCATGTGTAAGTAAGTAATCTACAAGTTAATCTCATGTAGAAATAATGGCAAGTAGCAAGAATATGGCTGATCTGAATTGCCTCTCTCAATTGTTACAGATAAAAATTTGTGTTCAGGCAAACACAACCTTTATTCTTTCAAGGAAATGAGACTTTGCAAAAACTTTAAAATATAAGATTAGTATATTATTTCAATTTAAAACAAGAAATTGATATGATAAAGTAGCACATATTTAGAACATATCGTAAGAGAGTTTGTCCATAAGCAATACGTAAGCAGACATGCCATTTTACACAAAATAATATATCATGTTTTAGTTCTGAGGTAACTCTCTAACAATGATACAAGTTTCAAATCAATCAGTAGACATTTAATGCTGTTAATGTCCCTTGAGAACATGTGCAAGGTCATTTAAAACCCTAGAGAATTATTCTATAATCCCTTCTGGTGGCCTCAGCATATTATATTTAGAAAGGAAATAATTGTAGGATCCATGACTTCACAAAACTTATTTAATAAAAAATGTATCCAAGGAATTTGAGGACTAGTTACTTTAAGAAAGAAGCTTCAGACTAGTGACAACTAAGAGCTGTGAAAGCCTGTAAAGGAAAAACTCAAAGCACTGACCAAATGTTTCACAAATAATTCCATGTCAAGGCTGATGTAGTACTAATACAATTTCCACTGATAAAGACCAAATCATGTCCATTATTCTAGGGGAATTCAATTATAGATTATATACATGGTCAAATAAACTGGATTTTAAAAATAAATCATGGTTTGGTGATAGAGGTCAGTGACATAGTATTTTCCTAATCCTGGGCAATTTAATTTCATAATCAACGATATAACAATTTAATATTAATTTAAAAAAAAAACACATATACAGCCCTAGGCTCAATTCCCAGCACCAGCAATAGACAAAGAGCTTAGGATACATGCAAGAAAATCTATCAAAACAAGACAAAGCAGGCTTGTCTTGGCCAGAGATATGGCCCAGAGGTTAAGTGCTCTTGTAGAGGATCATAGTTCTATCCACAGCACCCACAGTGGGTAGCTGATAACTTATGTAATTTGAGCTCCAGGGGACTATGTGTCCTTGTCTGACCTTTGAGAACATGAACAACAACAACAACACACACACACACACACACACACACACACACACACACACACACACACACACCAAAATATGACAATTTTTTGAGACAGGGCTCATACAGTGCAAGTGGGTTTCAACTTTGCTGAATAGCCAGGGCTGGCTTTGAAATCATCTTCTTGCCTCCAGATTTTAAGTGCTAAGATTAAAGACATGTGCTAACTGGCATGACTAAACCTTCCAATGAAAAAGACATATTGAAGACAACAGCAAATGAATAATTTATATCTTTTATGTTTCATATCAAAGTACCTATTTCTGTGGATGTGGAAGAAGATATACTTGTTGTGAATGTAAACCAAACAGAAATAAGAAGTTTCTCAAGTAGGTAATGTTTTAGTTTTGTGCACATGTGTGTGTGTTCGAATTTTGGGTCATTTTGTTTTTTCTTAATGTGTGTGGCAGGGTTGGATTTTTATGTGTATAGTGTGGGGTATGTTTTTGTTTGGTTGCCGGGGGTTCCTTAGATGGGCTCTTACTAACTGTTCAGACTGGCCTTAAGCTTACAATCTGCCCACACTGGCCTCTGAAGTAGATGGGATTATAGGAATGCCAGCTCAATAAAGTATTTTACTGAGATAAACACCACAGCTCACCAGCCTTAAATCTCTAAGCTACAGTGTGGTGAATTCTACCTAATATGCCACAGTATTGAGACAAAATTTAAAATGAAGCGGACGACAATACATACAGCAAGAAAGTGACTAAATTCAATCAGGCATGATATTTAGTAAAGTAAAAACAAGTTTGTATCTCTAAAGACATACCATATGTTTTACATGACAGCATAAATTTACCTTTATTAATGGTTGTTCGTTCTGGAAAGTTCTCAGCATAGTAGGCTTCT